ATATATATATATATATATATATGTGTGTGTTTAATTATTTAATAACTCTAAAATTTGTGAGATCTGTGAGAATTTTTACTCTAAGACTTCGTGTAACATGATTTTTTTCAATGTAAGTAGTATTTACATGGACGGAGCCATAAATTTTTTCCATATGGTGGCACCATATAAAACAGTTGCACCTTTTACAAACCTATTTTTTTTTACCTTACAACGGAGGGATTTACCCTTGGCACGTGCCACCATAGGCCCTTAACTAAGTCCGTCACTGAGTATTTAATATATTGATTAACATATATTTGTTTAACAAATATATTTGTTTCATATTTATTCCGTTTTCCATGTGAAAACTCGTTTTACGTGTATTTTCTGTTTTACAAACACGCCAAAAAGGTTCACATTGTGAGCCGAGTACATGTGAAACATATGTATGTTAATCGATATTCTATATCCTAGTCTTAGATGGAAAAAAATCATATGAAATAACACATGCATGCATTAGTTCTCAAGGTTATTATAATTTCATGCGTTCTCAAAAAAGACCACTTATATATAAAACTGTATTTATAGTTGGTGGGTTGTTTACTACCTGGTTACAACAAATAATCTTGTTGGGGGTGATTTTTTTAAGTTAAGTACATATTTTAAGTAATTATATATGACAACATACGTTTCACTTTTTACGAGATTGAGACGCTTGACATATCCATTTTCTAAACAAGCGAACATAATGCTAGCATTTATGTTCGTTTGTTTTTTGTGTTCGTTCGTTTGTTTGATTAAGATAAACAAACGAATATGAAAAGAATTTTGTTCATGTTTGTTTACAGCCCTAATAACTGCTCACATACAATATCCAGAAGACGGATATCATAAAAGTCAGATAATCAAATTTTACCCAAATAAAATATTTTGTTATTATTAAAAATACACGAAGGATGCATTTTTCTTGTTTCTCTTTTATTACTAATCGACCTCACGTGGGTTTTCGCAGCAAACATGATGCAACATTTTAAGTAAACGACCTAAAATAAAATTAAAAAAGAACGAAAAAAAACTAACGACCGTTAACAAGTTGACTAACGGCAGCATCTTTACACGGACTCGGAGGCAAACTGCTCCTTCCTGATGCCACCAGTCTCTGTACAAAGCTTTCAATTCTCTCACCGTTAGTCTCCGTCAGTAACCGCTTACCACCAAACGGCAACGATTCCACTCCTCTCTCCATCAACACTTCCTCCACCTTCGGCCCCACTCCGCCGTTCAAGTAACCGTTCGCCTGAAAAGTTAAACTCTCCGATTAGATCCTCCGCCGGAAAAAAAACGTTCATAACAATTGTATATGTTGATATATAACGAGGAAAACAATTTCGTCAAAAATGTTACCTGAATTCTAATGTAATCGGTATGGTTCCAGCAGAAGGCGTTACCTAAGATTTGATCAACGGTTTCCGATACACCGTCGAGAACAATGCCGACGACGTATTGATTCCGGCAATAACCGCCGCGGCTGAGCTTCCGTTCCGGCGAATTGCTTAATGGACCGTTWCCTAGAGAGAGAACTAAGAGATCTTCGACGCCAGTAAGAGAAGGGAAATCGCGTTTGTTATGTAATACGTGAGTGACGGCGGCGGCGGAAGGATTGTTCATCACTAAACCGCCGTCAACGGCGAGGCAAGAGGTTTTTCCGTCGATTGAAGTCAGCTGAAACGGCTTTAGCATCGACGGATCAGCCGATGTGGCACGGCAAACCTTCCAGAGGTCAAAATTGTAGCTAGCAGATTCAGAGGCGTCGGCTCGAGAGAAAACAAACGGCGCGGAGCTGTTGAGATCATAGCACGGAACAATGAGAGGCTTACACGTGTCCTTCAGCGTCAAAACCGTACCGTCGTCTCGAGTTAACGCTTCCTTCAGAACTTTCTCCATACTTTTGCCCGAGAACCTCCGTCTCCGGTGAACGACTCCGACATTCTTCACTTTATACAGCTCCGCGTGGCGGTCGGTAACGAATCTAACCGCCTCCTTGGCKGTAAACAGCGGTCGGCCGTTACCGTTGTCTGCGTTTAGCATTGCAGCAAGGAAAGCACCAATGCCGGTACCGGCGATAATGTCGAAGAAATCGACAATACGAGAATCAGAATTACCGGTTTTGAGTTGGATCTGGTGTTCGAGGTGGATCAAGGCGGCACCGGACGAGATACCGGTAGTTCCACCACCATCAATGCTAAGAACACGCGTCTTTCTGCCGCCTTCACGTTGAGTCAGCCATTGTTGCTCAAGCTTCGAGAATATCTCCAAGGTGACTTTACTAATCTCCATTTCCTTAATTTGATCGATTTTTAAGCCAAATTTTGAAGAAATTTCCAGATGATTTTGAAGCTAATACGTGGAGCTTAAGGTTTAGCAACAGTCGCTCTCGTACCAGCGGGAAGTGTGTCACAGTTTGTGTTTGTGAACACAGAGTTTCGCCAGGAGCAGAAAAAGGAGAAGGATAGACCAACTACTTATTTATATATATATACATACATACATATATATATTTATATACACACACACAAAAGTATGAGAAACTTAAGAATGGATMTGAAGTTTTAATCACCTTTAATCTCGTCTTCATGAGATATGCACCGCATCAATCCTTGGATCAATTGTAATTCATAAGTGGTTTTGAGATTAGAGGGTGTTTGASATTGCTTATAAAAACAACTTATTGATTTATTCCGGTGCGACACCGGTAATAAACACTTTTGAGTGTTTGGATAAACAACTTTTATACCGGTACCAAACCGATAATAAGGAGTTTTTRAAAAAGTTAAACCATTCTAACTTATAATAAGTTGATAAAGACTTTTCTAGAAAAGTATAAGTTGTTCCAAATAAGCAATCTCAAACACCCCYTAAAAGTAATAAAAATATCATATCCCTTCTTATTATTTCATCTTAATTCTTATTTTTACATAATTCTTCTTCATCTATATATATAAAATTGATTTTGTGTCGATAATGGACCTCAATTGAGTTTGCATGAGTAGGATTCCTTTTTACTAATCCARCCTTTTTAATAAACAATTTCTTTTAAAAGAGAGGTGTCTACAACAACTTRTATACGTCAATTAATCTCAAGGATTATGAAGAATAGTCTGAAAAATCCTTAATAACTTTACAGGACTCGAACAAATAATCTTTGAGAATTCCTAAAATACCCAAATGTTAATCTTATTGCCAATTGAATTAACCTCACAAAATTAACAACAATTTTTTTGGAGTAAATGAAAATGTAATTAATTGTAGATTCTTTTAGGCCTTATTATTTATTACATAGGGAGCAATGCATTAGTACTGTCGAGTAGCAGTGGACATTTTCCTTATAACATTGTTCCAATCTCACGTGTAATTTTTGTCCGTACACGTGACCAAGTGTGTCAAATTTCACATGCTTTTCCTAATATTCTATTTCTATGCTCCTTTTCTTTTTAATTCTTTATTTTCCTAAAATATAAACAYGCCACATTTTTTGTCCGCCCAATTTTCATCCTTGTGGTTTTAACCACGTTACAAAAAAGTCCCTTACCTCTAAAGTTAAACTGTGCATCGGACGGACAAACGGAAATTTCAATGGGATTTCAAATATGGGAACCAATCCTATTCGAATTATTTTAGGTTCAGGTTTCGGGTTTTGTTTAGGGTTAGTTATAAAAAATATATTAATCAATTTTGAAGACGAATTCAATCGATTGGTATAGTTGATGAAATCGATAGTAGAGCAAATTACTATTAGGATTTATGATTTTCCAAATAAAATTCGATTAAGTAAATAGGTTTATGTAAGATACTAAATTATATATATGTAAAGTTCGGATTACTGACTGGGTTGAGTGACCAAGATGATTGGTTATGGAGGGAAGGCAAAAGAGTCGGCGGGCTCCTACTCCTACAAGTGAAACTTCTTATTTTGTGAAAAAGAAAAGAGAAGGGGGTGTTCCTTCCGTTTGAAGAAAGAACGGACCTTGTTGATCAAACCCAACCCAGATCCAAATATCCACCTAAGAAAATAGGTTTATGTATCCACTAGTGTGGGTTCGCCCCTGTAGTGTTTGGAGAAAATGACCAAGAAAATGGCATATGTAAGGTGGTTGGATTTGACTGTAGAAGGGTTTGACTGCATTCTTTTTGTTAAGTTTTCCCCCTCTTTAAATGCTTTAAAGAACTCTACATTTATCGTGTAAACTTGTATAGTTTAAACCATTATTAAATAAAATGGTAATTGACAAAAATGCCTCTCATGCGAGGGCTTAACAGATGAATTTTAATATAAGTTAGGACAAGAGACCAAATTCATAACTAAAATGATACCATTAAGACTCTAACCATGAATTTTAAGGTGTAAGGACCTTTTTTGTAATCGATATGAAACCATAGGGACAAATTTGTATTTTTCTATAAGTTAGTAGAGTTGTAGATCCAATTTTTGATTATTTTTTATGTAAGTATTTTAAAAACTTTAATTTCAATTTATAGGTTTTTGTTAGTTAAATTTTGTGGAGGAGATATTTAAATGTTGAGTAATAGTCATTTTATTAAGGAAGCGTTTGGTTTGATGGAATGATTTTAAGGGATTTGGATTATACAGAAAGATTTAGAATCAGAAGGATCAGGATTTGAAAGGATTTGAAATCTTTAGAGGGTATTTGGAATTGCTTATTTGAAACAACTTATGCTTTTCTGCAAATACACTTATCAACTTATTATAAGTCAGAAAAGTTTAACTACTTCAAAAACTTCTTATTACCGGTTTGGCACCAGTATAAGTTGTTTATCCAAACACTCAAAAGTGCTTATTAACAGTGCCACACCGGAATAAGTCGATAAATTATTTTTATAAGCAATCCCAAACACCCCCTTAATGTGTTTAGTTTGATGAATTTGGAATGAAATGAAATTCCATATTTTATAAATAATTTATAAAACAAATTATCAATAATTATAAAAATAATTAAACTACTTGTTTATTAATGAATTATTAGAAGACAAATGTTTTAAATATATTTCAAAACATTATTACATAGAAATCCTACGGAATCCCATGAAATTTCAATCACCACCGTGGAATTTCAAATCCTATGTTTGAAGGGTTTCAAATAAACCAAAGGGCTCTGGCCTAACAATGTGTGAGTTCTTGGCCTCTTAAGAGGTCAAGGGTTCAAACCTTACAAAAGATGGAGAGAGTGTGTGAGTTTATTTGTTATATTTGTCGTATATAAATATTATATACTTCAAAAAAAAAAAAGATTTCAAATAATTCATAGGATTTCAAGTTCGAACAATGTTGTAAAACAAACATGAAATTGAAATGGATTTGAAATACAAATCCCTCCAAATCCATTTCATTTCTGCAAAACAAATGGATCATAGAGAAATTATGTTTTTCGTTCATATGGTTTGTTAAAAATTATGATTTTCGTTCATATTATTTGTAATTCTTTGTTATTTCGTATTTATAATTGATACATAAATTTCTTAATTATCTCATTCAGTTCTTGATTTCACCTGTGAACTTTGGTAAATTTTTTGAAACAACCAATGTTCATACATGAAACAACATTATAAACTTTGAAGAAAAATCATTGTTTCAATTATGAATTTCAAACAAAAACCATTGTTTTCACCAACGAACTTTCTGGTTTCACCTTCCACTTTGATAAAAAAAAATCAGAACAATCAAAGTTCGTACACGAAACAACATTATAAATGTTAAACAAACATTATATAAAACATGATTATCTTCGACACTAAAAAATAAACACCATATTAAACAAAGTTTGATGGGGCAGTTTAAGAAAAAGAGGGGATTATCAACCACAAGAGTGATGTCTGATTGGTTTGAGTTTGGCTCCAAAGGTGAAAAGTACCATGAGGTCCCAGATTCAAATCGAAGGAGAAATAAAAATCCCCTTGTGGCCACAGATGTTCAAATGCGATGACTCCGGGTTATCTGCAAAGCAGGTGGTACCCCTGAGATTAGTCGGCTCGCATCAGGTTAGATATCCAGGTTAATAAAAAAAAAGAGGGGATTAACTTTCAAAAATAATAAAACAATTTATTTCAATTTTCTTCATTTAGAGCATTTCCAACAGCTTCTCTAAAAAAATAAGTTCTTATTCTCTCAAACACTCCAACAACTTTGCTATCTTGTTATCTAAAATAGAGAATCATGAAGAAAACTTTAAATACAGAGAATTCTCTAAAACTTGATGGTGGGAGAGAGAAATGATTGTTTTATTTAATTTCACTAATGAGATTGAATTGCTATTTTTTTATAAAAAAGATTTTTTTAAAAGTGTATTGTATAATAAACTAGAGAATATTATAATAATATAATTTATGTTAAAATCTCTAAAATATAAAATCTATTGGACATGAATGCAATTTTGTTTAGAAAAATTTATGTTTTTGTTCTCTATTTTAGAAAAATTATAGAAAAGTTGTCGGAGAAACTTTAATTCATTTTAAACTCTTTCCTTTTTCACCATTTTATAACCTCCCATTTAAATCATAACCGTTGATCAAAAAAATGAACAACTCATATGATTTTTTGAAGTTAGTATTATTTAGTTGGTTAATAAATAGTTATTCCCTTTTATATGCAACATCTTAGACCAACCGTACCAGATATTGTCCGCTTTATACACATACATGGACTCACAGTTTTAAAACGCGTTTGATAAATGAGGTATTCAGTTTATTATAAGGCAACATATGTTCTCTTCCCCAACCAATGTGTGATTTTACTATTTACCCCCTGGGAGCCTAGCGTCCTCGTTAGTGCACCATTCTAGTTCCCGGCTTTGATACCATCTGTAGCATCTTGAGCTAACCGTACCAGATATTGTTCGATTTGTCCCCACACTTGGAGTCATAGTTTAAAACGCATCTTATAAATGAGATATCCAATAACTTATAAGGCAACCCTTGTTCCCCCCAACCGATGTGGCATCTTACAATCCAATCAGTAGCAATCCAAACGAACCGTACCAGATATTGTCCGTTTTATCCGTGCAATTGGACTCATGGTTTTAAAGCACGTCTGATAAATGATGTATCTAGTCCCTTATAAGACAACATTTATATCCTTACTTACCAATGTGGAATCTCACAATATATATATATATAGCTATAGCTATATATAGAGAGGTATAGTTATAAGACCTAGAAATAGATGTGTAAGATAGAAGCGTAGGAAGGAAGGAGAAAGTAGAAAAAAAGAAAAGAGACAACGGAGAAATGGGAGATTGTGAAAAGCAATTGGTGTTTTTTAGACA